CCCTGCAATCATATTAGTTAATCCTTTCTTTCAGAAATGTGTTTGCATAAAATGACTTTCACAGAGGTAGGCCTAGTGAACTGCAGTTAGAATTTAGTGAGAACAAAGGTTGTATCAATCAGTCTTCCTAGCACCATTTCATAACCATAAGCCAGAACAGAGAATCAGGTCCACAGTTTCTTTGTAAGTTATGTATGTGTGCAGAATATCAAATATACAGAGGTTTATTCTGATGTCAGTTACAGAGATAGGAAATAACTTCACTGGAAATCAGTAAGATTGCTCAGGAATTAGGTATGTAAGCAAGACTCTGCTATGCTTTGTATTATTTCTTCATGAGTTGTTAGCCCAAAATGAGCAGTTAGTAAAATAAAGTTTTATAATAATCAAGAGACTTGGCTTCTAGATTGGGCCACTGGTTTTAATCAAAAAGTGTGGGTGAGGAGATTTAAACTGAGTTAAAGAAACTGTGCACTTATAACATATAGGTAAGGGTGGTGGTAAGTTACATGTCAGTCCTGCAGTTCATGGAAAAGCCCAGTTAGCAAAGTACTCATAATTAGCCAATACTCAACTGGTGTAAATAAAATAGGGGAAAATTGAAAAACTAGATTATCTCTTTTCATACAGAATGCTTTTTAGGAAAGCATGCTTAAAGAATGAGCTAATATACTAATCTTTGCTAGTGTTGTGTTTCTTGATAGCATGCATGCGCACACAAACATAACTGAGTCACAGGGCATACTCTGTAAATTCCTGAATTCAACCCGTATCTCCAAGATGTGTAGAGTTGCCAGACAAGTATAAATTCGTTCCCAGATAGGGTGAGTTTGGTAATGTTAGCCACACAGAGACGTTTAGCTTAACCATTAAAGTAACCTGTTACTCAAACATAACATGAATGGCTGAACCTGAAGCCCACTGAATGATACAGCTGAGTAGTACTTGAGGCTGTCTTACAGATTACTCATTATTGGTGGCTGCTTATCTACAATGGTCAGATTTTAAGATAAGCACAGATAACTTAGCTTTCGTTATTTAATGTAAGGATTTTTGTTTACTCAGCATGTAGAATTCAACACCAGTGGAGAAAACATCGTTACATAAGCGAGGTTTATAAGCTTAATATATGGTCCCATGTATCCGTATGCATGCTACTTTGAGTGCACAAGCCTCCCAGAAAGCTGGGATTAACATTTTAAGAATGCAAGAACTTGACAGAATGGATATTCTTACTTAAACTGTTGTGGTGCCAAGAGGGCTTGGCCTGTTATTGGAGGTGTAACAGACAGTCTTCCATGAGGAACTCGCAGTATAAGCAAGATCCGCGTTGATGTAGTGTCATCTGTCTTAACTAATGCCATTTCATTATTGAACTTCCTTATTGTGCTAGTAACTGTTACCTATGCTACAATTTCTTCCCTTTACATATCCACAGAAGAAAAAAACTGAATATGTCTCACAGTTTTCTTTTTGATTGTATTTCCAGCTAACTTATGTGGTCATTTCAGAACAAATGAACAGTCCAAGTATTACAGAAATTGCCTTAAGGATGAATAGTTAAGTCCTTCCTTCTTTCATTAACTGTGACTAAGTAATTGCTAAATAACAAATTTTCTTTATCTGCCTAAGCAAATGGGGAAGAAAGATTAAAAATACAGACTTAAGAACAACAAGTTGAGGGACAATGTGGATCCAAGCAGCATTCTGTCCCCAGTGAATCATTTCAAAATAAAATGTTTAATCTCGAATGTATAAATGCCCAGTCAAATGGAGTCTCTCTCATGAGAGACCAAGGTGTTGCATACGGTGTTGTAGAGCATCAGCTACAATAAAGATTTTATAAAAAGTGAACAGGAAGTCATGTAGACTCTGTGCAGAATTTCAGCAGATTTCATTGTTCTATTTTAAGCTTGGTTCTGTGCTAACATGTTAATGGCAGATCTCTCAGTATTACAGAGAAGGCTATATATTAATGTATTTCTTCTTTAGATTAAATTTAAACATCCATTTCTAGATTATTCTGTGTTCTGTCTCTCCCTATTCTAGACTAGCAATAATAATCCAGAAGTGACATGACTGAAGTCCAAAACAAAATTAAAGTTTTACAGTATTTAAAAATTGTAGCCATTTTTTGGTCTTGTCTAGGAATATGACGCTATAAGACCAGTCCATGTTTGTCTTAATGGCCAGATTTCTCTCTTGAATCGCTCCTTGAAAGAGCATTTTGCAGATCCATCTTCTACCATCTACTGCATTGCCCTTTGTACTATATTTCCTGAAAGACATAGAGCCAACTTCATTATTCTGTATAAACACACATTCTAGTCTGTTGCTGATAGAATAGGCTTATTCTTTAAACAAAGTATTCCAAGTTAAGAAGCCAATATATATTTAAAAAGACTCATTGTGCCTTAAAATACTATTAAATTATGTAATAAAAGAAACAGTTGGAGAAAAAGGCAGTAAGTGGGACAAAAGAGCCTTTCCATGTTTTGCTTAAATTCTCTGAGGCTATTGTTACTCATTAGCACATTAGATATGTTTATGAATTACCAGTGTCTGACCCAGTTCAGTACTTCCTATCCAGAGGATAATATAAACACCTAAGAGAAGGCATAAATGGACTGCAGTCCTCACTGTGTGTTTAGCACTTTACTGTGTAAACAGAAAGATCTAATAGCACTATTAAAAGTGATATGGAATGTAGTAGAATTTTTAGCAGGTTCAGTTCTGCACTTACAATGACAAAAGGGATTTCCTTTCCACCCAAACACCATTTGAAATCCTGCAAACATTTTGCTTAACTGAAGGTAAATTACACTCTTCTGCAGATAGTCACCAGAAGGCTTACAAACAAAATAGTTTAACATGATGCCTGAGTTTCATTCTGGCTTTCCACGTAGAATTATTTCTTTCTGTCTTCATCCGAATCAAGTTAACTTCTAATTACAGTCAGATATATAGCCTAAGTTGTTCAGTAATTTCTTTCCCTTTCCTACATCAAAATCATGAGCATAACTTTACTGATGTTTGCACACATTTTCCTCTAGAATATGCTCAGTACTTTTAGACTAAAGTTTCCTGCAGAGTTTTCCAGAAGTAGAAAATCTGCTTTCACTCAGCAGAAATGTGCATTCACCACTGTTTCTTGTTTCTAGAGAAACAATGATCGGGATCACAAAGTCAGACTTGCCATAGGAAATGGAATAAGGGCTGATGTTTGGAGGGAATTTATCCGAAGATATGGAAATATTAGTATTTTGGAATTTTATGCATCGACTGAAGGAAACATTTCCTTCGTTAATTACACTGGAAAAATTGGTGCAGTGGGAAGAGTAAACTGCCTGCAGAAGGTAAGAATAACAACAAAACCTGGCTTTTTGTCCTTCTTGGTGAAGTTTGGTATATTGCCAAGGGCATATACCAGGCCACTTGTGTGACAAGTTGGGAAGGACCCAAGGCTCAGTTATGAATTTGTTTAGGGAGAAGATTCTTCCCAAGTACAGTCTATAGCTGCCCATGCTAGATGTTACAGATATCTCTTGCTAGTTCAGGCAGAAGAACATTTTGACTCAACACATCTAGTTGAAATGTGATGAATTTGGCTCCTGTTAAATAGAAGTCTGTCTATGTAGTATAATTCTGAAAATATTTTTCAAAGATTGAGTATTCATGTGTGCATACATTTTGCAAATTTTCACTAGAAAATCTTACGCTATGAACTGATTAAATATGACGTAGAGAAAGATGAACCAGTCCGAGATGAAAATGGATACTGCATAAGAGTTCCCAAAGGTAAAAACTTAACTCCTTTAAAAAATTTCAGAAAGGTGTTTGCTTTTGAAATTACATCTTTGCATCACTTGTCTTGGGAAAGATGCTAAGAATTGGCATTGAGTAAGCCAGGGTTTTACGTACAAGTTAGAAAGTATGTAACAAATCACATAGCATTGCAATACAGCTTAACAGAAAGGTAAAGTACAGTGGGGAATGCAGCGTCTGTATATGTGGGGTTTAATAACTTGTCTAGTTTTAATA